TAGAATTTGCCTCTTTATTGCAATAAAAGGAAGAGAGGGGAAGGGGTCAGATCAAGTTAAGGAATTAGACATTGCTTTCTCCCATATTTATGGGACCTGTGCACAAGTGTTAGAGCAGGATCCCTACAAAGCTCTTTTCCTGCTGTTCAAGTCACAGTCCTGATGTCTTTGTGGCACCAGTGGAACAATGGCGAGTCAGATCTCTCCACCACATCTGTGACCCCTTCTCCTGTAACAATATACATTTCCTGGTTCTTTATTTCTAATTATTCCTCATGGCAATTCCTTTCCCCAAGAACAGTCACTACTGATAATTTTTATAGATGGATGAAGAGGCACAGGGTGGTGACGTTTATGACAGAGTATGTGACAGTCTTCTGCCCCCACTTCTGACTGTCCTCGCTCGCCAGGATCCCTTGGAGGGGAGCGGGTTGAGCTTTCCTCCCCGCCCCGACCAGGGCTCCAGCAGCCAAAGACCTCCAGGACCAGCCACCACCATGCTGAGACCACTCTCCGCACACATGAAGGTACTGGCAAAGGGACAAAGTCACGCGGGTTCCGGGGCCGAGATCTCCAAGCCTACCCGGATTTGGGCCGAGCATCCTCCACCCAGATCCTCCAAATTCCAGTAGGCGGGGGTCACACCCACCAACTGGCCCCCTGGCACCGTGTAATCCCATCAGCGGCCAAGATTCAGAGACTATAAAAACCAGATCCCGGAACCGCGCGGCCACATTTGCGGACGTGCGACATCTTATTATAACATCATATTATCTCATTCCTACTTTGGACAAACTGGCAGGTTACCGAATGTAGCCTGCCCACACGGCAGAGTCTGGCAAACTCCCCTTGGCGTACCCAATATGCCAAATACCAGTAACAATGATGGGTCTCATTCTCCTAAAGAGCCTTGAATATAATCTCAGGGCTAGGATGAAGGAGACATTACTGGGGCCTGCTCGAGGCAATTGACAAATAACAGGATGATTTGTGATTGTTTTGTGATGTGACAGAAGCTAGGGCCAACCCAGAAAGGCCAATCATGGGTTTTTGCAGGTAACCAGAACAGGCGACTTGTACTCAAATCTGTCCCCAGTGACCTCATGATCCTCCTCCTCCAGGCACTCACTCTGCCTTCTCCTCAGGGAGTCTGGAGGCCAGCAAAGCTGCACGTGAATGTCCAGAATACACTGATTCTTGTGTTCTTTTGAAGCATTTCCAGGAGAATCTCATATATGACCTCTGTTTGGCTATTTGGGGCCAGAGTTGCACACCAAAATACCTCTCCTCCCCCAAAAAGAAAGTGAAAAAAGGAAAACTACACTATTATGAGATGACCAATTGTGTTGCTCTCACTCCCTAAAGAACACAGACAATGCTGTGTTCCAGCACTGGAGTGTGTTGGAGCAAGAGTTAACAGAATATCAAAGGACAAATAAAGTTCCTTCTACTTTTATGCCAAAACCAAGACTAAAAATTACTTTTCTTTTGTCTTCACTTTATCAAATCTTCAATATCTTGGAATTAGGCATTTTGCACTAACATTTATTATTGAAAAAAAGAATTCTGTGTTGTGGTTTGTGGGCCTTGGGCTGTAATTATCACAGTCTCCAGGTAGATTACCAGGTGTTGCAGAAACATTGCAACATCTCCTCTTTAAGGAGTAAGGAAATTTGTATATGAGTATAAATATTTGTATATAATCCCTTTTCCCTGGTGAAAAAGAAAACACTGGAATTCCTGATTGCCACACGATTTAACAGTGTTTTAGCATAAAGATTAATTTTCAGGGATAAAGTATCTATATAAGTCTTAAAAGAAAGTTGCCCCAAGTCAGAGTGAAAGTAAAAAATATGCAAGAAAACACAAAGCCAGGAGAAGAGGATACTGATAAAGGATTGACTAAACTCCTACAGATTATGCTCACATTAGGTAGTAATTAATTGCCTTAAGAAAAAAACCTCATCTTGTCTTCCAGAAAGGTCTCAGATCATTCAATTCAATTCAAATGATTCATTGTTTTTGAATAACCAGCATTTCAAAAACTTGTCTGAATTGTTAGAAATGAAAATGTTTGCTTTGAGTTAATATATGCACTGGGTGTAGAGGTAAGAAATAATGGTTTTGCTGAATTTAAACAGTTATCTATGCAAAAGATCTCTGGCTTTTTCCTAGATTTTTTTTTTGTCTTCAGTTTTTGAACCTCTCTTCCAGCAAACAATAGTTTTTCTTTTATCTGTCAAGATGTCAACATTGAGTTTTAATTATTTAGGCATTTAGTTGTGTGTTGGAAGGGGTCAGGAAACAGAGTTCATTCAAATGTAATTATTCCTGGTGGCCAAAAGCTGATTTGCATGTAAGTAGTGATTGGAAGTTGTAATTCTAAGTGATAATGACTTAGTTGAGCATATGAAGATCAAGTGGTCTAAGGATTCCTCACTAGTTATTTTCATATAAGTAAGATAAACCAGATATAATCTTTTTTGGGGGGGGAAGGGGTGACATTCTGGCAAGGCTCAGAGATTACTTCTGGCTTTACACTCAGGAATTACTCCTGGAAGTGTACAGGAAACCATATGGGTTCCAGGGATCAAACCATTGGCCACGTGCCCTACCAATTGTATTATCTCTCCAGGCTCTCCAGATGTATTCTTGGATGGCCTCTTGTACCAATAATTTTTAAAGTCATAAGTGAAATCTGAGTCAAACACAAAGAAGAAATCAGTCCCTGTCTTGAGAAAAATGTAGCATGGAACTTCTCAGAAAGAAGTCGGTGAAGTTTTATACATTCTTTGAAGCTATTTTTGAATGACTGAATTCATTGTCTGAAGATTCAAAATATAGGAGCTGGAATTTCTTTCTTAGCTATTCCCCTGGATCTCAGAAACAATTTTCAAAATGATGTATATATCTAGAATGAAGCAGGGGACTTTACATAGTTTCTCTTTATTAACTAAAATTCTACCTGGTTTTCTTTTGAATTCAAATTCTGGCTAGTTCAGTTGGTTGAGGCCAGTGTAGATTAATGTGGATGAGTACCAGGTATCTGGAGAAAGACATTCTAGGTGGGGAGACATTCTAGGTAGGGTCCTTTCTCCTCCTCCACCTCCAGGATAGCAATCCCAATTTTTGCAGAGAGGTGTAACATAGGAGATTTGGGGATACATCAAGCAGTGCTCAGAGGATACTCCTGGCTGTGGGTCTGTAGATCAAAAACGGTGCTGGGGGGTGTGTCTGTGAGGGCCTTCCTGGGAGAGATCAGTGTTTGAGCTGATGCACTGTGTAACCCAGAGGGCCCTGGCACACTGCTGGCTTACCTCCTATATTACTTCCCTTAGCCCTGGTCTCTAACTCATGTCTTAACCATGTGTTCAGGGTTTAGGATGATCCCTACTCCCCACCCCCAGGCAGGCAGAGGTGGAGGTGATGTGGAGAATACTCGCCAATCTCTAGGGGGGATGGGGTTCAATAATAAGCTGTTTCCCTGGAAGTTAGGTTTCTTTCATGGGACACAGATCTTTTTTGCTTGACTCCTTCCCCAATTTCTTATGTTGTCAGGGCCCCAGCCCTAAATTAGGAATTACTCCTGAAGTGTAAAGGGGACCATATCGGGTTCAGGGGATCAAACCCAGTTGGCCACATGCAAGACATCTTATCGCATGAAGCCTTCAGTGGTCTGCTCCTTCTGTTCTTCCCAGCCTGATGTGTGTGTCCTCGTGATGGGCTTCAAATGGGGGACACTCTGGGGCGAAATCCCTACACAAGCTCTAGCAGGAAAAGAAGAGGGGAAAAGTTGATGCTACCTCTCAGCAGAGCAGACCTGTGTGCCAGTTCATTGCAGAGTCAGAAAAGCAGAACTAAGCAGTGCCTTCAGCTTTTGATGATCCCTGATTTCATGCAGCAGTGGGTCTAGATCCCAACACAGAGCCCTCTCCAGCGCAGTGTTGGGAGGCCAATGATTTGATTATCTTCTATCTCTGGGAAACTTCCTTGAGCAGCTGCCAGTAACCTTTGCCAGATTGTTGTTCAAACACATAAAAAGCGGTTGACTTGTGTTTGGGCATCTTTGTCGTTTCTCTCAGTTGGTTGAACAGAAATGCATTGTTAAGTGCAACAGAAATCTCTTACTGTCTCCCTATAATTTCACACACCAACACATACAGTCTTGGGTTTATAGCTGCCCTCTCCATGCCTTTGGCCCTAAACCTTATAATAAGCTCATTCATTTGTAAATGTGCTCCTTGGCACGATGTTTCAAAAGTAGAGTTAGCCGGTGCTGTTGCTTTTCCGCACTAAAAAAGAGGTTGGTTGGAAATGGCACCCAGAGAGGAAAACTAGCCACGCGGGGAATGAATGCAGTATCAGCAATGCAAGATCATTTCTTTTAGCGAGATGTTTGCTGTCTGGATGTCCCCAGTCCCTTAGTCAAAGGACCATCTAGCCTTCGGCTCTTTCAGAGATGAAGCGATCCTCTCGCTCTGCTTATGAATAGACACTTCATGAGCAAAGAAAAACTGGTCTGCAGAGAATTTCTCAGGCTCGGTGATTGCCTGATTGCACAAATATCGCCTCGTCAATCTTTCTCTGCATCCGAGAGGGAAATGGCATGAATAGGAATGTGTTTGGAGCGGCGGGGTGGGGCCGGGAGGGGAGGCGACGCTTCCCCGCCAGCCTGGGAGGCAGCAAAAGCGCGGACACCCTCTGCCTCCCCCCCACTCCCCAGGCCGAGTTGTCGACGGGGTCGGGGACCGAGCTGAGCAAGGACGCTGCCGGGAGGCGCCAGGCTGGTCCCGGGGGCTGGCAGAGGGGAACCGCGCCCGTCCTCTCGGCCGGGTGCGCTCGGGCCACCGCGCGCGCATCTGGGAGCGCAACTCCCGGGGCGCGGGGTCCGCCTCCCGCGGCCGGACGTCGAGGGTCGTCGTCGGCGGCGTCTTTAAGGCTGCGGTCCCCGCCCCTCTCTCCTCCCCGCCCTCCCCTGCCCGCCCTCCTCCGTGTCGGTGTCGTCGCCGCGGCGGGCGAGCGCGGCACGAGCCAGGCGGCCCCGGGGCGTGCAGGGCGCGGAGCAGGTGGCGGCGGGGGCCCTCGCATGCCGCTGCCCGGTGCCAGGTGCTAGCGGCGCCCGCCGCGCCTCCCGCGGGGCCGCATCGGGCTCCGGCACGCGCGGGGACATGTCGGTGGCCACGGGCAGCGGCGAGGCGGCCGGCGGGGCCGGTGGCGGCGGCGCGCGGGTGTTTTTCCAGAGTCCCCGGGGCGGCGCCGGCGGGAGCCCGGGCTCCAGCAGCGGCTCCTCCCGGGAGGACGCGGCGACGCCGGTGACCGCGGCCACCGCGGCGACCGGGCAGGTCCAGCAGCAGCAGCAGCAACAGCAGCAACAGCAGCGGCGCCACCAGCAGGGCAAAGTGACAGTGAAATACGACCGCAAGGAGCTTCGCAAGCGGCTGGTGCTGGAGGAGTGGATCGTGGAGCAACTCGGGCAGCTCTACGGCTGCGAGGTACCCGGGCGGCGGGTCTGCCGGGGCGCACCCGGGAATTCTCGAGGATCACCCCCGCCCCCGAATCCTGGCGGGGACACAGTACCCGGGCGCCGGGCGCCGGGCGCGGCGGGGGTCTTCCTCCAAGGGTGCCCTCTGGTGCCTGGGCGCAGCGATGAGGGGGGCCACCCTCTCCTTAGGTCCCACTGCCCGGTGCTGGGAGAGTCGCGGGCGCCCTCGAGGGTCCCGCGCAACGGCGGGTTTGGGGAGCCGCGGGCGCTGCCGGGCTCCCGTTGAGGCCACACAAAAGCCGGAGCTCACCTTGGCTCAGGGAACCGGGGAAGCTCGGGGTTTGATGGAGAGGGAACCGAGACGAGAGGTTCTGGGCGTCTCAGAGACGCCCCTGGTTCCTGACGTTTTACACCTAAACCCTGAGATGAACGCGTTCCCTTTTTTCCAGCCAGCCTCAACGTGCGTTCTCTTACGGCTTCTGTGCATTACCAAAACGCTCCACGTTGGGCTTTGTTGAAGCTGTTTTCTGGTGGGTTTTTCTCCCCCCCTCCCATCTGCCCTCCCCCCCCACACACACACACACGCACACGCACACGCACACACGCCTCAGCTAAGTTGCTCCTGTTGATGGGCGTAGAACGAAAGAGCCTTGGGCAACCTGGAAGGATGCCCAGGTGGAAGAAGGAAAGGAGCCCGTGCTCAGGAGGGCCAAACCCCACCAGCGCCCCCCTCTGCCGGGACACCGTGATTTCCCACAGTGCAGGGGCTAAGGTTACACCCAAGTCTAACTAGTGGGTGTGCATTGGGTATGAGCAGAAATATTCCGCATAAACTGTAATAAACGTAAGCCAGAAAAATGACTGAAGTCCCAACAATCCCCTATGAGAGACTGTAATAAAACAATAATTCTGAGGAGGTATTCTCTTAAGGGGGTAGAGTTTGGGAGAGGGTGGGAGAATGAAGAGGATTCATAGTTAAGCATCTGGTCCCCAAGTTAGAGAGAGGTTCATATCCATGCAATTGTTAAGTTCTTCAGCAGAAATGAAAGCCAGATGAACCCCCTGGCTTTTTCACTGGTTGGTGGGTATTCTGTCGTTCACACTTTTTATGGTCTATTGTGAACACATATTTTCCTGACCTTCTCATTGCACAAGGAAACAGCTTTCTCATTAGCAACTACTGATGAATGATTATGATATAATGAAGCTTGACTATATGACTAATGGGCTTGTAAAAATATAGTTTCTCCAGTCCAGCTCTTATTAAAAGCCACCTTAATTGCATCCATAAAAACTGGCCCAAATAGGAAGTGTTCATGGGATTATATATACATATATATGTATTTTTTATAGGAAGTTGGTGAAACTCTTTACAGAAACACGGCATTTTCTCTAGATGGGATTCGTGTTGGGTGGATAGATTGTGCATAGTCTTGCCCCTGTGGAATCCAATTAATTTTGATTAATTTCATACAGGCCTTTATTCTCCATTTTGGATTTGAAGATTTGAGTTAATAGAAAAACTGTTGTTAAAATTAACAATGCACCTTTTATGAGAGATTAATTATATGTAGCTTGGGGAACTAGGGAGAGTCCCAGACCCTTCACAGGTTGGAAAATCATATATATTGTAAAATTCTTTGAGTACTTAGGGAAGATGGGGTATTGAAATGCTCACTGCATTGAACATGTCGTTTAGGTACATAATTTAGAGGGCAAATATGACCTTGAATCTTCTCCTTGTATTCTTCCCACTTTAAACTTTCAATATGTGGCAAGTACCTAGAGATTTGAGAGGTTTTATGATGGAATGGTAAAGATGCTACAAGCAGTCCACATGTCATTAAAATGTGACAAGTGTTTCTCTTCAAGTTGTTCGTGCTGTCATTTGAGGCTGAAGGATTATATATCAGTGTGAAGGTTGTTGGTAATTTGTAGTGACTAGGCTGAATGTAGACCTTCACTTAATAGTGATGAATAAATGGAAGCCAAGGAGGAAAATAGGATGAAGAAGGACAGTGGTGGAAGAGCTGGGACCAGGAGCCTTAGGTAGCATCAGTAATGTAGTAGAGTGGCATAGCTATATATCCAAACACCAGAGTCAACAGCACTGAAAACATGGGACCCCAGCTACAACAACCAAACTTTATTATTATTTTTATTAGTATTATTATTCTTATTTGTTTATTTTATTTTACAAAGCAGTTTATGATTGGATTTCAGTCATACAGTGTTCCAACGCCCATCCCTCCGCCAGTGTACATTTCCCAACATCAGTGTCCCCAGGTTCCCTCCCATTGCTTTCACCCCAACCCCCTGCCTACCTCAGTGGCAGGTGCTTTTCCTCTCTCTCTCTCCCCCCCCCCCCTTTTTGGGCACTGTGCAACAACCAGACTTTAAAATGTTGCCTGTCAGGGTGGCAGATTGGGATGGAGGGGTGTGGTGTGAGGTATGGTGTGAGAGAACTTGGGAACGTTGGTGGAGGGAAGTTGATACCGATGGTGGGATTGGTGCAGGAATATTATATGTCTAAAACTCAACTATTAATAACTGTAAATCACAGTTCTTGAATGAAATTGTAAAAACTTTAAAAAAGGAAACTTACAAAAAGCTATGAAGAAGTGTCATCTTGCATTTGTCTCTCCTTAATTTTGGCTTGATTTTCAATCCAGTTTCTCTTGAATAGTAGCCTTTTCTGATGGTAGCCCCTGGTTCGCAAATCAGAAGGACCTACCCTGACTCCTGGCTCTGAAGCTCATGAATGTAAAGGTGTCCTTTTTATACTTAAGATTGGTAATGTTTTTCAATGTTTCATCACATAGAATTGACAAGAAAGCCAGGTTTTCAGACTTCAAACTGTTCAAAGACCCCAGCTACCTGCCAAATTGCTGGGCGGAGGGGGATGTGAGGGGAAATGAACATGTTTCATTTCAGAAGGATGCATATCCAGCAGCTCAGTAGTTGGAGACTTGTCCTTTTTGGAATAGAAAATGAGGTATTTTGGAGCATTATATTTAAAATTAGAAAGGAGTGGGAATGAAGGCACATTCAGAATAACTTTCTGGCTGGATCTTATCTAGGACTTTGCAGTGACCAATTAATTTTATGTGGAGAATAGCATAATCGCTTTTGTGCGGTGTGTATTACATACCAGGTGCTGTTCTAGGCCCTTTGTGAGCACCAATTCATTCGATCTTTACAAAGATCTTACAAAAGAGGGTGCTATTATTAGCTCTGCCTTACAAATGAGGAAAAAGTGACACAGGGAGTTGAAGAGGTTTTCCCTAGTGCTCAGAGCTGGCAGGGGATGCTGGTGGGAGTTTGAACCCAGGCAGTATTGCCCAGAGTCAACACCGACCATAGGCTTGCCTGTAACTTTGCAGGGTCCCATGCAAGAGAACAAACTGGAATCGACCCCATAGAATGTTTCAAAGTAATGAAGTAAGCTAGCAAGCTTTTTGTAAAATTTGTTTTTCTATCCACTTACCTTAAGCTTTGAATTTTGCATTTTCAGACCTCCAGGAGCTCAGAGCTGGGGATTGTGGTTGGGAGAATCCATCTCCATCCCGGTGTTCCTTCTTTTTCCTGCTCATCCTCCTGTCCCACCTGGAGTGGCATTGTGTTCGTTTGCACGTCCAGTCTCTGTCCACACTCTTTGCCACCCCAGTCCTGCCTTTGGTCCACACTAGTGACAAATTGCCTCCTTGGGCGGACAACTCTGCTCATGCCTTAATCTTTGACCTGTTTTTTCCAGGGACCAGTAGAGCAACCTTAAACCAGTTCTGATTGGGCAGATTCACTAGGACCCCTTAAAGTCCTCCAGAAGAATCATGTGGCAGGGCTGAGGCCCATGGCTCTCCCCTAGTCCAAGGGTGGAAGTTTTAAATACCACAGCACATACACTTCAGATGCATAGGTCAGTGCTTTGATTGGTTTGTCAGTGCAGTGAAATAATTTGTTTTCTATTTCTCAATTCACCTTCTTGGACAGGTAGTTAAGTTAGCTAGGAATTTGGTTGTAATAGCATTGGTACGTTAAATCTACATTCACATTGAAGGATTTTAAGACATAACATTTCTGCTTTGAAAAGCTACATTTCTGTCTCTCTTCCAAGCCCTGGCAGTTTTATAGCACATTTGAAATTTGGTGTGGTGTCTACTTTGACACCTTGTATTGCAAAGTGGCTTACTGGATAAGTCACTCCAATTTTCCCCATCTTGCCCAGCATTGAGATAACATCTGTACTTCTAGTTTTGCAATTTGAGTTTCGTTGGAAATAAATCCTGTTGTGAACCTCATGCTATTGAAACGCCTATAGAAACCCGTCCATAAACAGATTGTGAGGTTTTCCAGAGTTATTCTGCCTGTCCATTTGGAAGGGTCCCCCCGCCAAAACACACCCAACCCCTTCCCCTTTGCTCCTGCATTTAAAAAAGTAACATCTGTTATGTTACACCATTCATTTTCCCTGATTCCTTATTGTTCTCATTCTGTAAATCAGTCTTTTGGTGTTTTGGTGCTGACCCATGGAAAGAATGATCTCAGTTGCTGCCTGACACATTCACAGAAGCACTGAGGTATGAAAACAGATTCACAGGGCACTTCATGTTACTATGCCAAAGGAACTGCTATGCTACAGAAACTATTACTTACCTCAAATGATTATTTATGTTTAGAAATAGTATTCCGTTCTAGTTTCAAAAGTTTGCTGATTATGACCCTCTCATTTGGTTTCATGACACATTTTCTTTGGATTGCAACATGCGACTTTTAAAAAATTAAGCTTTGATTTACCATTATTTTACAACAATGTGTACATTTCAGGAATATAGTTTAATTTCTCCGTATGTAGATAAAGTCTTATGCATCCATCACTAAAGTCCCAGCACTCAGTTCAGATTGGCCCTCTGTGCCCATTCATCCCACACCTTCACTGCCCACTACGGTGACGACCTTGTTTTTCTCAAGGTGCGACTTATTTTTTGTTGCATTTGCTAGTCATTTGCTTTC